GAATGATTCCTCGGAGGAATCCTAAAATTAAGAAAAAAATTCTTGGGTAATCTTTATTGAAGAGGTAATAACTTTGTTTTCTACAAAGTATTCAAGAAAAAAGAAATAGAAATAATATTTTTCAAGAATATTTGCAATACAAATTTATATCAATTACTTATGTATGTGTACAGGAATAGACTGAGCTATGAAATATACATATATACATGTGATGGCTTGCAAATCTACTTGATTGTATATTTCGTATCAAAGTAACTTTAGTAGATTTATTACAAAGAACTTACTCGAGGAGGTCCGTAAGAGAAGATCTCACGACTGTCAGCAGCAACAACGGCTGCCAGACCGAGGAGGATTAAAATCTGCGGAAAGAGTATTTGTATCATTATTACATCATCTATTTTATTATTATATAACTGATCATAGTATTGTTATAATTATCACCATTGTCACTTTCTTAGAAACCTCCAATATTACCCAGACCAATTGTTTCTACGTACCTTCGTGTTCATGATTCTTGCTTCTCAAGGACTGAATGCTGAGAATTCTATCAATGTCCTTATATACAGCGATGCTTATGAACTGGGGCACGTTTTTATATGTCGAGTTTTGTGTTGACATGGAGTTTCATGTCAACTAAGTGGACATTGTCAAGGCCAATCTCTCGAGTTTGTACTTTAGGGGGATTACCATTTCAACATTTCTATAATTAGATATGTAGATACACACATACATACATATATAATATAGATACATAGATAAAAATAGACATATAAAATTATAATGTAATACAATATATATATATATATTAACATGTATGTATATGTAGTATATGTATATATATGTAATATATAAATATATAGGTGTAATATATGTATGCGTATGTATACGTATATATATATATATATATACATACATAGGTAGATATATATAGATCGATATGTAGATACACAGCTCGAACACATTTTCCATTTTCATTATTATATCATCCATCTAAATATTAAGTAAAAGGAATATCACAGTCCTGATTGGCTGAAACGGTAGTTCCGTCTTATGGCAGGAAGACAGTTCACCGACTGAGAGAGAGTTGAGTAGCCAGAGTCAGAATCAATAGCCAAGTGTAGTCAGGCAAGAGTGATTGTCCACGGTTCGGGCTTCAGTTATCAATACTCTTGTGACAAATGGAGGCTGCAAAACTGTTTATGAAATACGATGAATACATTTCCAATATTAATATCACGGAAATTGGCACGTAACTTATAAGGTGTTAAAATATCACCATACTTTCTTTACCTATTACTAAATGTGAGCTTATTAATATAAATTGCAAATATAAGGATAGTGTTTGAGCTTGGAGTAGTGATGTAAACCATTCACTGGCAACCACCAACGACGGTTTAGATGGATTAATCGAACTGATATCTATCCGCACAATATACGATCATTTAATGCGATAATGATTATAGTGTATGTAAAGTGAAATCATCACCACAGCACCATACGCCTTTTACAAAGCCCGAATTTCAGCATACACGTGGTGTTTCACTCCAATGAAAAATAAACAATCGAAATACTGACGTGAGCTAGTTTCCTGAAGTACGTTTGTGTCGACAAATATCATGCATTACTCAGTAAGATGTGACTATGTAAGGATGCTGTGAACGGTACTAAATAAAACGATCAGCAGAAGGTTGTTGAGCCTGCTTTAGGCTATTATACTAATATGGCCGATAATTTTCCGGAGAAAACTAAAATTCATAGAGAAATGCTCATGGTCATTTTTGTGTATGCAATTGCTTAAGTATTAACTAATGTAGGCACGAAGTGCTAAAGAGCGCAAACAATTGTCTTGTTTATTTCGTTAACGTTAATTATGACTTTTCTCAAGGCATTGACAAACTAGTCCTGTAGAATTTAGAAGGCTTCTAAAAGACATTAAAATTATTTTATTTGCGTCTATGTTGTATTTTCAGGTCACTGTTATTGCTATTACCAATTTGTTATATTTTCCAGCGATGCATATTTGGCATTTTGTAGTAGAGCCTAGTTCGGCACTATGCGTTAGCCTTAAACAAGGTATGAAAACCCCAGTGCCCGTACTTGTTCCATCTCTGGTTTTAGTAACTCTTTGGTGCTGATTAAAAGAACATGCTTTTACTCGTGCTTTCATTATATTTTCTAATAAATATACAATAAGATATTTACATCCAAATTCTTGTCCATCTTAAGGATTCACTGATCAAATATCTGAGAATTTACTTGGACTCGTTGGAGTCATAGGTATAGACTGGCCTTGGTGGCCTGTACTCCCGCGATTCGAAAGAAGCAGACTCAAAGGAAGCAGACTCATACGAGTCGGGGAAACGAGCCTCGCCCTCGTAGTTCACCTCGGCCACGTAGCCATCGTCACCGTCCACGAAGTATTTGACGTTCTGCAGACGGGTGTCAGGAAGCCTCACGTAGTAGGATCCTTGAGTGTGTTCACCGTCACGGGCTTCCTCGTGGCCGAAGTCGTTGCCGGAATCTTCGTGCTGAACGGCATAACTGAAGTCGTACTTGGCTTCTCCCGACTCATATGACTCGAACGACTCGAATGATTCCTCGGAGGAATCCTAGAATTAAGAGAAAATTTCTTGAATAGTCTTGAAGAGGCAATGTGTTTACTACAAAGTATTCAAGAAGTAACTTTCGAAGAAATAAAATATAATTCATTCCATAGAATAAAATTTGCAATACAAATTTATATCAATTACATATATACCTATGTGTACATGAATAGATTGAAGCAATGATAAATAGTTGCAGATATAGATATAAATTATGCATATATGCCTATGACGGTTTACAAATCTACTTTACAGTATATTTTGTATCAAAGTAATTTAAGTAGAATTATTATAAAACAATTACTCGAGGAGGTCCGTAAGAGAAGATCTCACGGCTGTCAGCAGCAACAACGGCTGCCAGACCGAGGAGAATGAAAATCTGCGGGAAAGGTAATAATATCTTTACTATTATAACAATTTTAATGTTATATTACGTATTATATTATTGTAAATATTATTAATGTCATTCTCAGAACGTTTCTCTACTCTACAGACCAATTGCTTCTACGTACCTTAGTGTTCATGATTCTTGCTTCTCAAGGAATGAATGCTGAGACTTCTAACAATGTCCTTATATACCGTGATGCTTATTAACTGGGTCACGTTTTTGTACGTCGAGTTCTGTGTGCAATGTTTGGTCCGTAGAGTTTCATGTCAACTAAATGGACACTGTTAAGGCCAGTCTATCGATTTAGTATTTTAGGGGGATTATCATTTTAACAAATTTAATAATTAGATATGTAGATAGATACGTGCATATATAACATAGATACATGAATTAGTAGACAGATAAAATTATACAATACAATGTATATATATATATATTTTTTTATTATTATTATTTATGAGTATATGTGTGTTTTATATAGAGATACAGCTCGAACACATTTTTCACTTTCAATAATATATCATCCATCTAAATAATAAATAAAAGGAATATCACAGTCCTGATTGGCTAAAACGGTAGTTCTGTTTTATGGCAGGATTACAGATCGCCGGTTGAATGAGAACTGAGTAGCCAGACACAGTCAGAATCAATAGCCAAGTGTTGTGAAGCTAAAGCGGGCTTCAGGTATCAATGCTCTTTTGACAAATGGAGGTTACAAAACCGTTTATAGATTATTAAGAGTACATTTTAAAATTTATTCTTATCCTAAAATAAGAATATCCCGGTTATTAAAAAATCACCTTACTTTTTCTTTACGTTACTCAACATAAGTTTACCGACATAAAATGCAAATATAAGAATACGAAGTATTCGGGTTTGGAGCAATTAGGCAAACCATTCACTGGCAACCACCAACGGCGGTTTAGATGAATAAATGGAACTGCAATCTATCCGCACAGCATGCGATCATTTAATGCGATAATGATTATATTACATATATAATGAAACCATTACTACAACATCATACGCCTTTCACAAAACCCAGACTTTCAGCTTGCAGGTTAAAATAATGTGAATATGAAAATAATGTGAATACTGACGTAAGCTAGTTTCGTGACTAGGTATTTAACCAAACAGAATATCTATATCTATATATAAATTGTGTCTGTGTGTGTCCCGTGTATATATGTATGAGTATATATATATATATATATATATATATATATATATATATTTAAATATAGATATGTTTATATACATATATACATATAATATATATGGGTGAGTCTGTGTATACATACATATATATAGAGAGAGATAGACAGATATATGTACGTGTGTATATAGATAGATAACTCGAAACTACACACACACACATGTACGTGTGTACAGTACATGCAAATCTCTGTGTGTGTGTGGTATCCAGATTGACAATCTGCTGAATACCATGCTTTATACCATGCTATTTAAGAATAATCTGAACGGTACTGCAATGCAACGATCAGAAGATTGTTGGGCCTGCGTTAAGCTATTATACTAATATGGACGATCATTTTCTTGAGAAAAATATTTATAGAGAAATGCTCAAGTCGTGTTTGTGTGACCAAGTGCTAGATTATTAACTAATCTATTGTTTTCGGACATTTTAAGATCGGGTTTCTTTTGCCGCAACAGAGCCCAGCTAAGGTTATTGGTTTATTCTTGCTAAAGAAACGTTATGGCTATTATGATGCTTCCCAAGGAAATGGCAAACTAGGGCTGTAAAATTAAGGAGGCTTCGAAAAGTGATAAAAAATATCCAATTATGTCCATTTGTGTTGGATTTTAATGATCACTGTTATTGCTACTACTTCATTACATTTTCCAGTGATGCATCTTTTGTATATACGGTTCATTGAAAAGCAGTAGAGGCGAGTAGATTTGCACTATGCGTTTACCTTAACTAGGTATGAAAACCCTAGCAGCATGTAGTTACATTCCATCTCTGATTTTAGTAACTCTTTGGTGTT